TCATATGTAAACGAATGAACTGTAAGTATCAGAAAAACGCAGCTGGATAGTTTCGGTTTAGATTCCCTCGTTTTAAATGCTTTTTGATCATGTGGCGAGCCCTTTTCGCACTGCAGGGGTCCGGCACGGAACGGCACGTTTTGGTCCGGTTCCACCCGTACTGCAACCCTGTTGTGTTTGCATATAACTTAGGGCGGCATCGAAGCTGTACCTGACGTCATTATTTTTGAAACTAAACAATGATTTCGATGTAGCGGCCGAAGCCGTTTCTTCAAAGATGCGGCGGAAAACCTTTTCTTTCCTCTCTGATGTAGTTCGTTCTGTACTCGTTCATCAGGGAGTAAGCGGAGGAAAAAAAATGACCTCATCATGGGACCAGGTAGCAGCAGAATATTGAGAGGAATTCATTGCAAATTAAAAATAATAATAATAATAATAATAATAACAAAAATATTAAAAAGAGCACTCTTTACAAAATACAGTATGAACAGTTTAGTGAGAGCCAGCTAGAACCGATCAACGGTTGGCTGCAAAACAATCAACGGCTGACTCTAAACCAATCAGCTGCTGAATTCTAAGCAGCCGCACTTGGCCGGCCACACAACTCTTGTGGTTCCAAGGAGCCGGGTGGAACCGGGTCGGAAGTTCTAATGCAAAAATGGTCGGCCCTACTTTGAACCCGTGCCGTGCCATTCCGTTACGTTCCTTGCAGTGCGAAAAGGATGATGTGTATATTAGTCGTTGTCTTAGCAACGTGAGCTAGCTGCAGGTTAACTGTCAAAGCGTGCTAACCTTGTTATAGCATATTTAACAGGGTTTTTTTTTTTAAAGTAGTCCGTTAATTAGATTGTTTTTATTTCAGAGTGCGATAAGAAGTTCGTTAATGTACTCCAAAAATTCAATAAGTTAATATGTATAATTATTTTGTGGCATAAATACAAGCAATAGCTACTAGGTTAAAACAAACTCCACAGCTTGTTGCACGTTTTGTTATGCATAATGTGATTCACTATCTTTCCCGTTAAATTGTTTTTGTTGATACATAGACGAGAGTAAAATATGGAAGTACAATATGCATCAGTTTTCAAACTGTTTTCTTAGCAGTTTCATGTACACTTAAGCTATTGCTGGAGATCTGCAGCTTTAGATTGACAATATTTATAAAAGCAATTAAAAATAAGAAAAATTGAAAAACAAGAAACTTAAAAAATCCCCAAAACAGGCAGGCCCTGTTGAAAAATTTAACTCCTCAACTTTACTCAACTTTCAGGATACCTACAAAAGAGACAGAGGAGGTTCCTTTGACCTGAACCTGAACCTAAACAGAGGTAAGTTGCTGATTTGTTTCACACAAGGGTATAAGATTGTGTGAGATGAGGCTCTGTTTGCATGCATGTGAGTGTTCATTTGAAGGAGTGTGTGCAGAGGGCTAATGGGTAATGCCACAGTGGATACTGACTGCACCATTCAGATGAAGACAGTCTTCCTGAGCAGCAGTGTCACAGAGTAGAAGTCTTTCCAGCAATGTAAAACGGTAAGACATTTTACTTTATCACTTGTCTGTTTGGTAAGGCTGTGGATATTTAAAAATGAGGACACTGGCATTAAGGGTTGAGACTGAATGCGGAGAGACATTGCATCAAGATGAGAACATTTCTGCTTCATGATGTTGACAGAGAGACTATATATACCACCTTCTGTCAAATTTTAATCGGAGTTTGATGGATTAATTGATATTTATTTATATATTAATTGATAGGAAAAACAATAGATCCACTGCTGCATGGTCCTTTTAAAGAGGACCATGCAGCAGTGGATCTATTGTTTTTCCTTCTGAAGGAATGTCTGACGTATTCTAAGGCAGGCATCACAGGCTGTGGGGTCAGAGGTCAGCCCTGTCTGCCATGCTCTAAGTTTTCCTCAACCCCAGTTAAAGAGTATGATCCGGTACTTATCTGTAATCCAACACCAAATAAGTGACAGAATAAATTGTCAGACGTATCCTGCGGGTTTCTTATGCTTGAGGACAGCTACATACGCACACACACAGAGCAAGACTCTCTGGTTTCTCTGTCTCTTATGGAACAAGAGTTAGAGGCATTTAATTCCAACGCTGTGTATCAAGAAGACAATCTGTTTAAAACCAGAGGTAGTTAGAATATACCTAATCTAATTCAACATGGTTTAGAATATAGTATATTTATTTATTCACTTATATTTATTTATTCACATCAAACTCTGATTAAAATTTGACAGAAGGGTGTCAGGGAGGTCAGGAGGTCACAAAGTTCCCATGGGGTGTGGGAGGGGTGGGGGGTTAATATCAATTAATATCAATTATTCCATCAAACTCCGATTAAAATTTGACAGAAGGTGGTATATATAGTCTCTCTGTTGACACTCTTTGACGCTTGTTGCTTTCCTTCATTTCCGTATGTGTGTACGATTACACATTAGCCCCTAATCTCCATTAGCTCAGTTTTCAACACTTTAATAAGTTACACAGTTTGAATATTTCACCATGTGAACTATTTTCACCACTTTAGTATTTTTCCAAAATGATTACAGCTTGCGATGAAGTTGCACTTATGCACCATTCCTCCTCACTAACTGGATAATCTTGTTGGGTTGGTACCTGCTTATCGCTGCAGAATTTTAAATGAATAACCCTGTTCATATCATACAACGTGGCCTCAGTGCTCCTGATGGTAAACGAGCATGAGGAATGATGATGCGGGGAATCCATGCCATCAGATGACACTGAGACAACAGCAGTGAACTATTTTTTTCCCCCCAAAAAGAGATCATTCAAAATAAAAATACTGATTTGGAAAACTCAAGTTAATAATTGAAATAATTTCAGTATAAGCTTTTGTTAGACTATTGAGACTGTTGCAGTACTACAGTCAAATAAGTATTAATGTGTAGAAACTGGACTAATTAGCACTGCCTCCCTCCCACCTCTGTCACTCATTCATTAACCCTTGACTTTTGACCACACGGCTTTCAGTCATCCATTGACTCCTAACCTTGATCTCACCATCTCACCTTTCACATATTAAGCCCCTGAGCCTCACCATCTGTCACACCTATTAATTTTAACCCTTGACCCCCACACAGATGTCATTTATCTGTTAACCCTTGACTGTCACACATTTGGCTCTCGCAGCACTCCTTACTGCCTCCATTTCTCTTCCTTCTCATAGTTGAAGGATCCATCTGCATCCATACTGTGGAGTTGGCTGGGTCTTCTTTATCATCCCACATCCACCGATGCTCCACTAGAAAGTTTCAGAAAGTTTAACTACTTTCTCTCCACTTTTTCAGGAAAATACCTCATGTTTTTTTTGATACAAGACAAATTCTTTCAGTTGTTTTTTTTTTTTTTTTTAGCAGTAGTGGCCTTTAGTTGCAGTAAATAAGGCAGAATATTGACAGAGTGAATGGGGGGGAACACACATGCAGTTTTTATCCTTTTTTTACAGGAGCAGTGGGACTTAATTAAGGTTTGAGTCCAAGAGCTCTTCCAATTCATCACTTGTCTAATTTCTCAAGTGTTTCAGATATTTTTCAGGTTCCAAAATCACCACTCTGCGCAGCAGAAGAAGCATCCCCTAAGACCACCATGGTTGTCCCAAAATCACCAGATAAGACATTGTCCCAAAGCAGCCATTTGGGAACACATGGCAGCCAGCACTATGGCTCAGTCCAATCATTCTCCCAGCTCTCTGGAAGCCAGTGTGGCTCTCGTGGAAGTTTATCTCCAGTCAGTGACGTTTTGGAGGGCGAATCTCAGGACTGCAGTGAGTCCGACCCTCTGCTCTCCGGTGAGCTTCCGAATGTGTCCAGATTCAGCAGATCCACGAGAGCAAAGGATGCACAAGTTTCAAGTGGACCCACAGAATCGGTGTGCTCCATGGTATTACAGATTCTGGTGCCGTTTGTGCTGGCCGGACTCGGGACGGTTTCTGCTGGGATGCTGCTTGATGTTGTGCAGGTGAGAAAGCATATACAGGTCAATCAGCCAAGGTTATGAAGACACATGCAAGCCAAATAGAAATGTAAAGAAATGAAAAGTTAATGAAAAGGGTGTTTTGGGAAGCGACACAACAGACAACTTTGGTGGAAAATGGATTGAAATAGGAAAAGTTTGAGAAAAGACTTGGTGGAAACTGTGTTGTTAGAGAAAGAATGACGGTGGTGCACTGAGATCAATAAAGCAAGTATATGGGGGTTAAAATAAGAGAGTTCAAAACTCATTCACATATGCTGTTAGGTGAAAACAAATAACATTTTCTAATAACTACAATTGCCTCTTTCAGATCAATGATGGAGTCAGTGGTCTAATGAAGCTGTTTCCTGTGTTTTTTCGTGGCAGAGCTGGGATGTTTTCCAGGAGGTCTCTGAGATCTTCATTCTGGTTCCAGCTATTTTAGGTATGAAAGGGAACCTGGAAATGACTATGGCATCGAGACTGTCCACTGCTGTGAGTCCTTTGAATGCAAACTTGACAACAGGGTTGGGTGACAGCTAACAGAAGCACAGCTCTGCTCAGAGGTTTTCGGACTTTTGTTGATTTGCTTGATTTGCGTCTGGTCCTTTGTGCAATCAATGTATAACAATCAAAAATTCTTAAAAACAAAATTTGTCTCCAATTCATGCAGATGCCAATAATTAAACATACTACCCAAATAATATTTAGACAGCTGTCCTTTAGCAATTTGGTTATAGGATGAACTGACTCCTCTCCTCCTATATCCCTACTCTCAGAGGTTAACACTTAAAGAGCTCTCCATCCAACATGTTTTGAGATTCCCAAACCTGCCGAGTCTTACATAATCAGGATTTGTAGAAAATCTATTTAGCTGGTTTATTGAGTAAAACTCGCCCAGCTAATGATTACCCATAACTGAGTGTCCAGGCAATTTCCTTCTATGAATTAATCTGTTTAGTTCTTATAGATTAAGTTTTTTTTGTTGTTGTTGTTGATTGGATGAAGGAAATCACAAACGCAACTTAAATACCCTCCCAGTACCCACACTGAGCACCAGTGCCATTGACCCTCCCCTTTGTGACTGTGTTGTACTTTAAATAACTCACAAACAGGTGTCCTGTGCTCGGTTCAAATTGTACCTACCAGAGAGAAATGTT